AACACCTTCTCCACACGTCCTTTCCAGTTCCATTTCCTTACAGCTTAGAAGTTTTTCAAAGGCAGGTTACAAATGTCTTCTTCTTATGAAATTTTGAGTTCTTTCATCCAGTCATTTTTGGACGTTTTTAAGCTTTCTGACACACAGAAACTAGGGAGTGTGGGGGTGGGGGGCAACACGCTACAGCTCACTTGAGCATAGTGTAAAAACCCACTTTCTTATACTTGCTTTCAATCTTTTGCCTCCCAGTGTCACTTGACTGTTGTAATTCCCTGGATGAAAGAAGCAAGCAGCTCTTTCTTGTTAATCACTTCTATTTCAGTTGCAAGTTTATCTACCATATTCTACCCCTCAGCAGTTTCTCTCACAAGCAAGCAGATGTGAAAGGACTACTACTAAGGAAATTTATTTTTGCAAAAAGGCTACTATTAAGGAAACATGCCTATCTCAAAATGAAACAGGTTTGTTTATGGTTTAGATATTTGGAATGAGTTAGAGGATGTTCACTGGAGCAGATTCCCAGGTAGGACATAGGGGAGGCTCCCCGTAAGGTCTTCTATTTCTAAGTCTTAACTCTGGCACTAATAAATCTGTTCACCCAATAATCAGAGACAAGACGCTACCGTCTCTCTTCGATGAAACAAAGAAAAAAAGTTCTGACAGATTCTTGCTGTTGTTACTTTTTGTTTCCTCACAAGGAAAAAGAGCCTCTTTCTATACTAAAGAAATGATTAAGAGCACTTGGCAAATCTGAACACAGTTACATGAACGTTTTGAACAATATAGTGAGAAACGAAAGAATGCCAACATCACAGCAACTCTGATTCCTCTCACCAAACCTTACTCTAAGTTGGTGTAACTGTTGCTTCTGGAGAGAATCGTATGAGACTACAACATCTGGGCACACCGCCTACCAGCCGGGCTGCGGGCAGGTGTCCGCCCCGGCTCCGGACACGTGCACCCTGCTACCGAGACACAAAATCCCCCTGTAACTAACTTTCAAGACAAACGGCACCTTCTTACCTGAGCTCTCCCTCAGCGCTGGCACCGACCCTCCTCTTCTTCTTCTTCCTCCTCCTCCTCCTGCTCCGGCCACCTCCAGCGCCGCGCCCGGCCCGGCCCTCTCTCCCCCGCGCAGCACCGCCCCGCTGCGCTCCCGCGGAGTTACACAGTGCCGCCCTTTCCTCCTCCTCCTCCTCCTCCTCCTCCTCTCAAACTCCGCCGCCACGGCCGACAATCCCAATCTGCGCTTAGGGCGAAGCCTCCGGGAGAAGGACGGGAGCTGCTGCCACCGCAGCGCGCCGCTCCCCGAACTTAGGGTTTAGCTTCGCGGGCCGGGACCCCTCGCTGCCGCTGTCCCGGGATGTCCCCGCCGGCCGCGCACTCACCCGAGCGGATCGCGGCCGTCCCGGGCCGGCGCCCTGCTCGGCTCCAAGGGGCGCTCGTGTGTGCGCGGGGCGTGTGATGAGTGTGCGGCACAGCATTTTCCTCCATGACGTGGAGGAAAAAAGAAGGGCAGCCGCCCGCCCCGAAACCTGGCGGGCAGGAGGAGAAGGACGAGTGGGAGGTGACGGCGAGGTGCCCCGCCAGCACCTGGGAGCGGGAGGAACCCGCCGCCTCCACGCTGACCCTCCGGCGAACGCGACAACGACTTCCCCACGGCTGCACCTCGGGGGCGGAGCGGCCGAGGAGCTTCCCGAACACTACGGGCGGCTCGACCGGGCGGCAAGGCGGGGCTGGGGCTGGGGACGGGGACGAGCCCCGGGCTAGGCTCCTTGTGTTCTGGTCGGCTGTCCCGGGAGCGCACAGCCGTGAAGAGGGATGGGCTGCTGCGGTCCCGGGGCGGGCGGGCACGAGGCGCGGCGATAGCTGCAGCTCTGAACTCATAAGCTGCAGCCTGGCGTTAAGCCTCTGCTTTTTAGCAAGTTGGTTGGGGACATTTTACTATTTTTATTTAGCGGTGAAATAACCTGCCGCTGCACTGGAATACTGCAGCTCCCCAGCCACTTCCAGGCTAAGGCCGGTGTTTTAAGGTCAGGCCGAGCTGTTGGCTCTGCTCGCAGAGAGCCTGGGGCCCTGGTACACCAGCTCGGTGAGAAATGTGGAAGACGCCACCGCACCGGAGAGCATCTGTCTGCTGCTGTAGCGCTGACCCTGCAGCTGAGCACCGCTGTGACAGCTCGGCTTAAGGCTGGTAATTGCATAAGCCACTGTGACCACGTTATATGTAACTGAGTGAGTTCTCACCACAGCAATGTGTAAGGGAAATCAAAAGGCCACAGATGCTGGAAAACTCACCTGTGGGTTACTCTGCTACAGCAGTATTGGTGTAAGTGGTAAAACCTCCTGCCACAGACAAAGACAAAGCCTTAGGAAAAACAAACAAACACCAGAACAAAAAAAAACCCCATATCCATAAATCAGAAAAACATACAGATATAAACATCACAAAAAAGTTCTTTGAATCCTGTTCCAAAGTCCCATTCCTTAGAAATGTTTTACCCCCTTCCTGTGTCATGTTTTTCTAGATATGGCCAGTAAATTAGCAGTTCAAATTTCAGATCACCTACATAATTTCCTACCCAACTAGTTAAATGACTACTGGTGATAATAATAAATATTGGGCCCAAGTCTCATGTAGGCAGTTGCTCATTCTATTGATTTAAACGGACTATTTTCCCCCAGTTTAGTATTAAGGTTTAAAGACCAGGAAAAAAGTCTTTGTGTTATCATGACAAAAAACTCAGCAACTGCAACTGCTTCAAGAATTTATCCAAACTCCTATGGCAACATTATTTATCCCTCTCCCTCCTCCTCCTCCTGCATTTCCACCATTAAAAATCCAAGGAGTATTTGTGCCTCAGAGTACTGTAAATACCTTTCCCAAGTTGGCTTTCATTCTCATTATTCTCTTCTCTGACCTGCTCTGCTTTGCTTGGCAAGAAGGTGCAATGTTTTGTGTTGATCCTCTGCTTAGAATTTTAGCTCTCTCTGCACCTGCCTTTACTTCTTCTCTCTCCTGTCCATGTGTTTCCCCTGCTTACAGAGCTTCATGACCTCTGACCTGTGTTACTCAGGAGGTCACATTGGTTCCTGATGGCCTTAAAATCTATAGATCTTATGTTGTACTGTCTGCCTCCCAGCTGCTTTTCCTCCTCCTCACTCATTCTTTTGTTTTGAGTCTTGCATTCTTCCTTACTGGTATTAATCTCCCTATTGATTTTTTTCAATTCCATGACAGCAATAAATAAATAAATAAATAAATCAGTGGAAATATGAATCTGAATTTGTGGCTTTTGTTCACTGCATCACCTTTTTCTCCTTTTATTCCACACGTGAATATTAACAGCAGTCAGAATGCCAGAATGTCTTACTATTTGCAGTTTTTATCCTTTTTTACTTTAGCTTGCACACATAAAGTAAGTGCTAATTCACAGCCTAGGAATGGAGAAGAGGGCTACTAAATAAAAGAAACTGAATTATGAAAGCAGCAGAAGTGGCACTTGTGAGCCAAAGCTTTGTTACTCTACTGCAGTTAGCATCACTAACGCTGCCTATCTTTGACCAGTGACAACCACTTACATTTTTTATGCAAAAGAGAACTTAAAAAGCATAAATTTAAACTAAGAAAACATGATGGTGTAAGGTTTTTTTCTATCTCTTAATGGATATTTACATTAAGATCAAAGGATTCCAGCAGGAAGATTAGAGAATATTCACATTTTTAAGATTTGGGGAGCAGAATCCTACCTACATTTGTTAGTCATATTAAGCAATACGTTGACAAACTAATACCTTTCTCAAGATGCTTATATACAATTTAAAAACTGAAAAAAGCCTCACTTTTATATGCAGCATCTCTAAGAGACAGTGGCTTTCATATAGCACTTTGCATTTTTACCTCTTTGCCCAGCTTGCTCATTCAATTTTCTGTCACTATATCTTAGGATTGCCTTAGGTCATGTAATCCCATTAATATAATGGACCAAAATATTACTGTCAAATTCTTCCAGGCTTTGTACATTAATTTTATTAGACATCTTGCAACAAAGAAAAACGTCAAACAAACATGTAATTTGGAGGTCATTTTAACAGTCAAATACCTTTTACTTTTCAGTGAGAGTGCAGTATGTGAATGAGCACTTCCTTTGAAACAATATGCCTTCAGGTTTGTTTTGCTACAGCAGTTGTGAGAACACTCCATTTTCTTTCTTTGCGAAACTGATTTTACAAAATACCTGTCAAACAGCAGCTTTTACCTTTTTTGATTTCCAGGCCACTGGCATTTCTTTATTCTTATCAGCCCATCAGGCTATGATTGCTCATGCATCCTAGGGCACAGTACTAGCTCTCTACACATCAGACCCCTCTCACTTCTCTAAACCACCTTCTGTTTAAGACACTAATCAGATGTTTGCAGAAGAGCTCTTCACACTCCAAATAGCTTCCTGACATTATGTATTAACGGGAGATACTTCCCATCCTATTCACTGGAGTTAGGAGTAGCAGGGACTATTATTCCATCTCTTTTTATAATCCAAAGCACAAAAGACCAAGAATACGACTTGAATGCAAGTAACGCTTGTAACAGTCAAATGTGTACAAATATGCTGCTAAAGCAGATTCAAACATTGTAAAATTAAAACAAATCGAAATCCCCCAGAGATTGGGATGAATATCTAAGACACTGTTACCTGGAAAAATTGTTCTGCAACAGGCTAATTGCATTTCCTGTCACATGCCAGCACATTTTCTGCCTACCAGAGAGATCTGTCTGGAACATGAATGGAATTTTCCTGAGCATTTCCAATAGCTAAGATTCCTCCATGAGCACATGCCCCCTTCTGATATATCTATATATCTATATATAGATATATAGATATGCCATATAAAGCAAAGCTGATGATGATTTTCAAGGCTGCTCATCTTGATTTTTTGCCTAACCTCACAGTTTATGTTATTACACAAACACACACTGCCATTTTTGATAGCTCATGCTCAGCCACAGCAGTTCCAGATTTAGGTGTAAGAAGTGACTGTGAGTGTTGATGCCTGTCTGCTTTTGTCCTGCCCCACCAAGCATGAGCAATTATTTTAATCTTAAATTAAAACTTAAAAGTTCAAACCTAGCAATCAACCTGAAATATAATTCACAATGAGCATCGAAGTCCTATCTACTTCCCCATTTCTTAATCTTGCAGCACAAAATTAAATATCAACAGTTATTCTTACCTTCTACTAAGTACTTCCCTGCTCCTCACTTACCTGAACAATCTTTCCATCATCCCATGTGCTGGAAAAATGATTTCTCAAAATGACAGTAGCAAACTACTTAATTCTAAAAGCTCAAATATTTACTTCTAAGTGATGGCAAAGGAAAATGTATTAGCACTCAAGAAGTCTTTAGAATCCAAAATCTTTGCATTCTTTGTAGAAACTCCAGTGCTTTTCCATTGCAGAGCATGGTAGAAACTCCTCTTTATGTGCCATTACTATCTCATGGAATTGAAGAAAATGTGTCAGACTTTCCACTGAGTTGAACTGAACAGAAGAGCCTGTTGAAAATGCAAATTATTACAGAGTGTAAATTAAATTAATGGAAAGCAGTCACTGGCACAATTACCTTAAAAGGTGTTTGCAGTTTGTCAGAACCTTGTAAGCCTTAGTGATCCCTAGGAATCTTGTGGGGTAAGACTTGTGACATCTTACCAGTATATCTCACTCAGACCCAGTCTTCAATGAGGCAAGGGCCACACTACACCTCCTGGTGCCCAGCCCGAAAGGACAGCCATCCGAGACATTTCCAATTATATAACAGGAAAATGCAGTTCCTTGGTACTGCTTGAATTTCATGTATTATGTCTACAAAGAGGCAGGTTTAATGCACTTTCCCAAAATAAGGAATCTCACAGAGAATGCCTGTCCTGAAATGACTTTATAAAAACATGTACACCCGCACAGAAGAAACTGTGGGACTGAACTATAGGTATTTTTAATATCTGAGTATCTGCTGGACTGAATTAATTATTGCAATGCATAAATTTAAAGCACTTTTGTCAGTACAGGAGAAGCTGAATTTTTCTCACTGTTAAAAATCAGTAACAAAGTAACATTGTAAAGATCCAGCAGTAAGAACTATTAAATGGCATTGATCCATAACAGCACGGACTCCAAAAGCCACTTGAAACTTCAGATTTCAGAGTCACTTGCCTTCATATATCTTTCATCCCCACTTTCTCCCTTTGGTATTCTTTCACAAACAGAGCTGCTGAGATGCCACAACCAGCCCAACACAGAAAACTGCCAGTGAGGGCAGAACTGTCACACATATGGTGTCAAGAGAGAGAACTCTCATGAAAGTGGAGATCGCTTCTGTTTAAAAAGACAAAAAAATCCAACAACAAAACCTAAACAACAAAACACAACAAAATATTGTGTCCAAACAACATTCAAGTGTCTCAAGAGGCAAACCAGCAATCCAGAAAAAGTCAAGATAAATCCTTGTCAAAATGCAGAGAAAACATGTTTGAAGTGACATTAGTTGGCCATTTATCTTGTAATTATTACTGGGCTATCATATGCCATCCCAAGAGTCTTTCTTTGTTATCACCATTTTTCATTTGTGTCACCAACATAGATTCTAAAAAGCAAAATATAATCACTGACTGGATAAGATCATTGGTGCCTGTGCTAAAAACAACAGTGCTATTTGCTGGTGTTAGACTTTTTAATTCCATGTCTTGGTGACGATTTCCCTGCCATTTCCTGAGCTCTAGGAGCACACCACCCAAAGCCAGTGAAGCAGCAAATTGCTATTAGAAGAGAGAGGCTGGTGTTCAGAAGTGCAAACAGAGTCTTGTGTGTGAGGATGTGTGTTGTTCCACACCCATGACTCCCTCAGCAAAACTTCTGACTCCAAAGAGGACAGGATTGTATTTGGTATCTTACAAGCTCAGTGCATGTTCAGTACACATAACACAGTACATACTGTAACAAAATGTATGATCTAATGTCTGGAATACATTTGTGTCACTGACTGCAACCAAGGCTGCACACAAGACCCACGTTAAAAGTTACATCACAACACTCCTCACACTTATGAAGCAGCAGTCAGTCACACTAGCAGAAGCCAACGTGTACACTCATTTAGAAGTGATGTTTTAATGGGCACAAGGAATGCTTGGATAAAAAAAATCACAAAATAGTTTTAAAGACAACTTCAGGTAAAAATGATCTTAAAGTAGGCCTGGGATTTTTTTTTAAATAAAATAAACTGGCAGAAATTGAGATGAAATGTTTTCATTAATGCTGAGTATAGAGTGGCATGACAGGCATGACTTCAACCTGCTCTAGTTTGTTGAAAAAAAATGCTTTTTGTTTTATTCTGAAATGTCTATGTTTTGTATGCAAGTAGAGGGGAAATTCTTAGCAAACCCTGAAGTTAATTTAACATCCTGTATTGACAGATCATAATTGGAGAAAAGATGCTATTTTCTTACTTTGGAAATGCTCTTCTCTGTACTGCAATGATTTAACTTACTGACTAAAAATTCTCAACTCAACTAAAAAATACTCAACTCAAGTGTAAGAGAGATTAAGACCAAATAAATCGATTGAAGTCACTTTTTTCAGCACCAGCTAACAGCTTTCTTTGTTGATTCCTTTGTGTCAAATTTATGTTTTACCTATTGGATTCACATTTTGTCGATTAAACATCACTATTCCACCATAAATACTTTACCTGAGTGAATAATTAACATATCTAATCTCTATGTTCTCGACTTCTCAGTCAACATCTAACAAAATCACAGTAATTTATCTATCCTAAAGCTGTCTTCCTCAGTTCTGACACCAGTATTTGGTAACAAAGTTTCTATATCCACAGACAGTAATTTTTCCCCAGTGGGTATGAATCAGTATTTTGGTCCTCGTGTTTCTTCCTCTGACATCAAGGATTAATGTCCTTTGCATTTTTCATTCTTAAGTCTTTCTCTCCTTTCTCTCTCCCTTTGCTACTGTATTTAATCTTCTAATACCCACTTTGATGTTTTCTTCCTGCAATTTGCTGACTGTTAACTCTAATCCCCTTGAAAAAGACTGGCAGTTTAGAGGCTGTAAGTGGCCTCTAAACTGAAGAAAAATTCCAATACTGTTATCCAAAACTCAATGCCTCAGGTACAGAAGCGAACTTAGTAAATTTAGACACACAGGCAGTTTCTTTCTCTGCTTTTTCCACCCTTGCTGTCCTATTCTTTCAGGTTTCTATCATCTTCATGAATTGTAAGATAAAGTATCAATATCAGAATGGGGTTTTTTTTCCATAAATATGGGGAAAACACGTTTTCTCTTGACAGCTTTTCCATCCTGCTTATCAACATCCCTTCTGTCTTTGAAGGCATCTATTTTAGTCTTATAGTTTTGAAACCACTTCAAATGTTTTCAACTTGTGTTTCCATTTTGGTGTGTCTCTACCAGACCTCGTCTGCTGTGGCTGCTCAGAATCTGAAATTTGTACTTAAGGAGAATTTCCATTAATGGTGCAACTACATGAATGTCAGATCATAATCTCCAGTTGCATAAAGGTTAGTCAGTGAAGATAAAATTGTTACTTCAGTGCAGTCACCATTTCCTGATCATTAAAATAGCTCAAAGATCAGGTCTTAAAAATCTCACTCATATCTACCTCATTTTTCCCAAGCAAGAAAGTATGGGGACTATCCAAAAATATGGTTAAGTATTTTATAACTATCTTACTGGTGTAAATGAATTTAAATGCTCTTGTAGTTTAGGCAACATATTTGAGTAAATTTACAAGCATCAGTAAATCCAGTTTAACTGCTCCTATAAAACAGATAATTATTATTATCAGATCTGAAAGAAAGATGAACTGATTTGCAGTATCTGGCAAAGTCACAGGAGATGTTATTCTTCTGACTCGAAAGGATCTGGTTCAGCACAGCTAGTCTAGACACAGGCTAAAGATGCATAAGCAAATACAAGATCTAAGAACAACACACTTAAAGATGACAGCATTTGATCTAGAGTGCCACAGAGGAATATTAATAGAACAAAAATCTGTCTTAAGTGCTTTCAAGTTCCTTGGGCCTTATCCATGCTCCCCTCAAGAACTCAGAGATCAGTCACAATCCTGAGGTTCCAACAGGTCTTGTCTATTCAGACCAAGTAAGGCCTCAGAAATGACAGCAAGCATTTCACATAAACATTTTTGGGCCTTCTGAATCTTTAAAAAAAGGCTGCTACTGGATTGAGGCACAATAATTCTGCCCATCCTAGTGATAGTTTTGAAAATATCTTTTCTTATTACACTGAACCTGGACATTAGAACCTGGATTAATATCTGAAATTTACTAACTAAGCTGAAAAGTTTACCAGAGCAGTTCAACATGGTACTGGTTCATTATATTCTACAATTATTAAGGATAAAGAAGAAATCTCAGAGAAATATAAGCTTTTGGCCAGTTTAGCCTGACACTAAAGTGTGCCTATGCCTTATTTCCCTTTAACCCAGATAAGTAGTGGCCTGGAACATAGAGCTCTTTTTCTCTCCTAAGATTAGAATGCATCAATGGTTCCCATTACAGACACATCAAGAACTTATTTTACTTAATATTTTCCTGATGCTCGAGTGAAAGCAAGTAACTGCCTTTTGTGTTCTTCAGGTTTTTTAAAATTTGTATTTATGATCTATCAAATGGAAAGAAAAGCTGGTCAAGACCTGGTATTTTAGAGTAAGAGATGTGTGTGGACAGATTGCCATTGCAAGACCAGAACTTTATCTGACAAAATAAAATATTTTCCCAGTAATTTAGTAATTTTTTCCCTGTAAATGCATTCACTTTTCTTCAGGTCTCCCCACAGTTCTTGATTTACTTCACATGATATAGATGTCAATTCTTTCTTTCTCTTGTAAATGCTGGAGTCCACAATCTCTGTCCTTACAAACTAATCAGTAAAAAGACATCTTTTTCTAATTAAGAGATTAATCATGTCAGTTAGACACCTACAGTTAAGGTGGTGTCCACCCATTACAAGATACAGGCCAGCAGAGATTTTTGACTAATTCCATTGTGATCCTTTGTGTCCATCTCCATCCCAATGTTGAAAGTACCTTTTCCCCAAGAATTAATCTATCAAGTGACCTAAATCATGCACACTGCATCGTTTGCATTGGTAATTATGAACCTTTGAAAAAAATATCAAAGGTTATTTATAGCACCATAATAATAAATAAATCATTTCAGTTCGGAAGCTCCTTAATGGACAATAACGACCAGATAATTCATAAAACAGTTATAACAGTTCCAGAAGGACAAAGAGCACCTCCTGACAGTACCTTAGCCTATGTTTTTTTCTTCACATATCAGGAATGACTCATCATGGATGATCTACAGGTTCAGGTCATCATCTGCCTATAACTGAAATTTGTATAGCAGTAAAGTGGAATTTAATTCATAATTTCACAATTCATTATTTTATCCTATTCCTTCTAGATAAAATGGTATATTTGAGAAAGAAATATTTCTTTCTCCACTCA